CAGCAGGAGAGGAGCCATGGCCGGTGCTGCGTGTGAGACGGAGATCCCGTTAGGGACAGACGTGGTGCGAGAGCCAGGCTGGGAATTGTCACGCTGAGCACGACAGGTCTGCAATGTGCACCTCGTGTCTGTAAAAGGCTGCTCCTTCTTCTGGACCTCTCAGGGTCAAAGGTACAATGAGCTATATTTTAATTACCAAGGAAAATTCGGCCTGATGAGAGGCTGTGTGCAAATGACACATTTACTAAACGGCGTGCTGTGCTTGCACGTCAGCCTGTGGCCCAGCTGGGCCTCCTGGATGCTCACTGTGCGACACCATAACGCACTAACTCAGAGGAGGAGCGCTTAAGAGACCTCCGAGGTCCACGGCAGACCAAGGCAGCTGCTGGGTGAGATTTACTCCGTGCCTCATGCAGGCTGAGAGCTGGGACACCCAGCAGGGTGCTCTGCTCCTCTGCAAACTGCGCCCTGCTCATCCCTCCTCCCAAGCAGTGGCAGTAACAGGGCCCACCGGTGGGACCGACTGGCTAGCACAGGTCTCCCAGCGTGGGCGCTCACATTCCTCTCTTAAACACAGAGTCACGGGGACAATACTGGTGTGGGGGCCCCTCTAATGCAAACATTTTTTTTTAAATGAGTTGTGGTAGGGGAGACAAATGGCCTCCATTGTAAGGAGGTGGGGAGAACTGGGGAGGACTGCGTTTACAGAGCAGTTTAATCACATGGATGGAGCAGCGTGTTCACCTCTCCTCCTTGCTGGGTCATTTCCACTTTGAGCTCTGCAAACAGACCGTCTATTGAGCGGTTAGTATTCAGTGCTGAATATTCAATACTAGACTCTTGTTTTGGTGAGTCTTAGGCAAAAAAAGAAGGAGGAAAGAAGACTTCTCTCTTTCTCATGTTCCCTCCCTGAGTTTGCTTTGCATATTGTTCAGAGGAGACTGGAGGCTTCTCAGAAAAGCCAGGCTCCTAGTTTTAAAAGCACTGGTCTAGTTTCGTAGTACTTTCTAAGGAGAGGGAAAAGACAGTGTGGAAGGGACTAAATTCGTACAAGGTTTATGAATCTGTAAGTCTAGGCACAGCAGGCCTGAGTGAAGACTTTCCAACAACCACATTTAGGCTGCAAACTTAATAGCATGAAATGCTTGCTCTGTATACACAGATTAGTTCTGAGAGGTACCAATCTTTGTGGGAGTAGGTTACGATGATTTATTAACGTCCTCTCTGCTAGTTTTGGTGCGCAGATATTCTCTGGGTGCGTGTTGAGAGCCAAAAGAAATTTGTTTCTGTCTAGTTAGTGCCATATTTGCTCACAAAAATGGTTGTGAGTAATGTAACGGCTGCATCCTTTGACAGCAGTGGACAACCGGTAGGTTTGGAATAGATGTGCATAATGTGAGGACAGGTGGCCACCGTTTGAATAAATACAGTATCTCTTTCCTTTGAGTCACACTCTTCTTGTGTCAAGGAAGAAGTGACGAGGGATTGTCTCTTACTGCTATGATTACATCCTGACACCCGAGTGTTCTTTGCACATATGCGTCCGTCTGACTTTTTCTCTTGTTCTTTCAGTCCGCCTGACTGGATGCTGTTTCTGATGAGAAATATTTACTGTAGTCCTGTTCCTTCAGGAGTTGACTTCTTTTCTTCTGATTTAAAAAAAATCTCCTGTCTATAGTTACTCTTTCCTCCTACACTTTATTTTTGACAGTGCTCTTTTCTTTGTTGTTCATTCTTTTGTTTCGTTTCCTTTCCTTTTTCATCTCCTTTCCAACAACCAGCCTTCTGCCTCTTCTCTCACCTCCCTGAGCCCCATAGCCAGTGGTTCTTGCACCTCCCATCTCCCATCTTTGTTTTGTCATCTTTGTGGGCCTGTCCTACTGATGTACTACCGTTTCTGTGCCAAATTGGCCTGTCTGCTGGACTCGTCAGCCCCTGAGGCAGAGGGAAGCATTTCATGGCTACTTGATGCAAATCCCGTTTCTTGTTAAGTCCTGTTCAGCCAAATTACTCCAGCCTTGTGCACTGGTGAAGTGGAGCTGAATTAAGGATTTGAGGACTCCAGGTCTTCTCATGCTCACTGGTGAGCTGAGGTACCATGGTAGCAGCTGGGAATGTTTAACCCAAGAGCTAGTGAGCAGAGTCTGCTGTATGGTTAGGAGTAAAAGAGATGTGATAGGTACCCAGAAGGGAAGGTCGTCCTCTTAGGAGCTCTCTTGTGTGCCTCACATTAATTCTATAGCATAAAAAGTTAATGAAATTGGGGCAAAAAGGGCATCAAGAGACTGTGCTTTATTCTGGGAGAGAATAGGACTGGCAATAATAAAGGGGCATGTTTGCATTTTCTTGGAAGGAAACATTGCAGATAAATTGGAGACGATAGCATTTACATTGGTTCCTGCAGCAGACCCTGAAGGACTGAAGATCTCTAACACATCATGTTGTAGAAGCATGAGGATACCCTTTGCTATATGCAGAATTGGTGCTTGGAAAGCACATGATATGCATGATTATCCTACTGATGAAAAGATTAGCTGCGTGTTCCCACCCATGTGAGTTAAGTGCCCTGGGAGAGCTGAACTGGTCAGATACTGGTGTCACTAGCTTAAATGATCCTTGGTGAAAGTGAGGAAATGTCACTGCACTGAAGTTGGACCAGGTGAGGTTCTCTTCCCTGTTAAATGAGGAATGGCCTTGATGCAGCAAAACCCAAGTGGCTATTTACTGGTCTGGTGAAACCTACTTTTCAAAATAAAATGTTAGATAGCATCTGTGTGTGACTGGGAGAGGGAAATGGCTACTCCCAATTAACATGCATACCAAGTTGGAAATGCGATAGCAATGATACGTGATTCCAGAGAAGGGAATGGATAGAACTTCAAAGTACTGTCTGATCTAGGTTGGAGGCTGCCCTAAATGCCAGAATCAATATGCAGAGGCATCTTGTGTTCTAGGGTTCCTGAGTGTGCTTGATCTACGTTTGGGATGCAGCTTCTTAATGAGCAATATTGTTGACAGAGTACTTCAGCAAATGTATCACACTTAGATAAACTTCTGCACAGTACACAGAGTAACAAGAAAGCAACATCTCATAAATTCCAGTTTTCCTACCCAAGTATTCTAGGCAGGTTAAAAGACAATGCACTATGGTGGTTTTTGTTATATCTGTTTAAACACAATGCAAATTTTTAATATACCTTATCAAATGGGTTAACAGAAAATCAGTACTAGGAGTGAAGACCTGGATAAACAAAACAAAAGAGCTCTCACAGATTCAAGAGAGTCATTCTTTGCATTCTTATGATATCATGGTGAATTTCACGATGCTTCACCAGAATCACGAGTGAAAGAAAAAGGACAAAAACATTCCTGCCAATGTCTAGCAAGTGCCCTGAACCAATGTCCATTAACCCTGAAATAGTTCCAAGAGAACTCTATGCCAAGAAATGAGAACAAAAGAAAGGACTGCACCAAGAGTGCCCGACATTTTGCTCTGTTGGAAATGAAATAAAAAGTTAGATTAGCAAACAAAGCACCAAGGTATCTGGCAGCTTGTCAGGGTAGCGGCTCTACCATCTGCACCAAGGCCATGTGTCCCTGTCATCCCTGAGGAGCAGGTCTCTTGGAAGAACAGAAGATGGCTATGCAGGACCAAGGAGGACATTGGCATGATTTCTTGTGGAGCTTGAAGATGTTCCTGACAGCTCACACGCACTGTCTGAAGGATGTGTGCCTAGCCAGCTGATGGCACTGAATAAATTCGGTAGCGAGGAGCAAAACCAGGCTCTGTGTGGCAGGCCCACCTCGATGGTCAAGGAAGAGCTGTTTTGCGAATGAGGAGTGTCTACAGTGATCAGAGGGAATAGCAGTTGGATGATGTCCCTGATATGGTCTCTCAAACATTTCTTTTGACCACAGAGAGGAGGGAGATTACATCACCTATAAAAGCCTAAATCTTAGAAAATCCCTGTGTGTGTGATCAGCTGTCCCTAATAGCTTGTTCTGCTTGATTTTAGTTGATTTTGGTAAGTTTAATGCCCTCCATGGGAGCCAGTGGCTGCCAAGCCCTGTCATGTTACAGACCCACAGTTGTTCATAACATTGTGCAGAGGCCTGGCTTAGGAGATCTTGTTCAGGTCTTGGTTTTACAGTAGACTGAGGTTTCAGAGAGAAAATGATTTTTGTTTGCTTTCTTTCAGACAGTGTAGTTCTTAAAGCTTTGAATGTGCTGCTGTACCCCGTTCTCGCAGTGCTCCGGCAGCGTTACACTCCTTGGGTAGCAGACGTACCTACAACCAGCAGTGCTGTGCTGCAAGGGGTGTGGGAGATTCAGAACACAAATCCTCTGCTTCTAGTCAGAGCGGGTGTGACGTGCAGCAGGTGCTAGAGCAGACTTTTAATAGTTTGAGGGTCAACTTTGGTTTTATTTCCTAATCATTACCCCTGACAGAAAGGGATACTTTCTCTTGTCTTTAAGAGGCTGTTTAAACTAGCGATTTGTCTTCTAAATTGATGTGACCAATTGATCTGAGACATCGAAGTGTTATAAGGTGTAGTTTTCATTTGCACCAGAACAAATATTAGAGGTACTGGCTCATTTTTCTCTTGACTTTCATTCATATGAAAGTAGTATTTGGAGACCCAGTTAGAGATTGCGTTTGCAGCACACTTAGGGGTAGTCAAAGCAAACAGACTGTTTGGATATTATGAATATAGCAGCCACAGAGGTGAGAAGTTCTCTGTCCACAGCAATGGTGCAACAGTGACGGCATGAACAGGGGGGTTATTGGGTGGTGGCATGTCTCAAACCATGTTCAGCAAGATAAAGTCTGCAGAGAGAAGCCTCAATGGATCCTGCAGACCTCAGCATTTATTCTGAGACAAACAACAGAAGCTGTCAGGGCAGTGATGGTTTTCCTAAAAAAGAAAAGATATAGAATATCATCCCATCAACTCCACTGAAAAAAAATTTGAGACAGATATGATATCTAGTTAGTACCATGGGCCAGGAAACTGAGAACAGGAGGTTCCACGACCTTCGGTCAGTCTCCTGAGCTTTTGAGCTACTGCTTTTACCTTCTAAATTTTTCTCTTGCCCAAACAGATCAGATGAGCACGTAAGCAGTATTGCTGGCCAGCTCAGTACGGAGACACTTGGCAAAGAGGTGCTGCAGGAAGAGATGAGTAACTCTTTCCTCTGAGAGTGACGAACAAATAACTCAGAGGGGTGCTAAGACTCCACGTGCATGACGAGCTCCTCCTCTGTCACAGGAACTGTAAAATTAAGTCTGTCATCACTTCTAAGTATTCATTTTTCCAACAGGTCCTCTTGTAAATCCACAAAAACTTGGTGGTCCCTTTTTATTTGCATTATCTACACTTTATATACTTTGCTCACAGTTACTTTCTACTTTTTTCTATCTCTGCCTTGAGAAACTGTGGAAAAAATTACAAGAGCAGCCATGAATAAAACTAAGGAGTCAGACTGTTGCAGCTGCATCATCCAAGTTGGTACGCAGCTCAGGTACTAGTTTGGGTCCTGGCAAATCTCTAATTCTTATTCCAGAGGTAGCTCTATTTCAGTGACAAGCAAACTTCTGTGGAAGCAAGGCTGGTCCCTGTGCAGAGCACTAGGTAAATTGTCATGCTCGTTGGCAAACTGCTTTAAAATTTGGAGTATGGGAACCAATCTAGAGCTGAAGGTGTACGAGTGGGATTTCTGTGCAACTGCTAGAGCTGTGGTGAAGTAAGCACATGGTGATTACCACAAGCCTTGGCTATGTTTCCAGATCATGAGGATTCTCATCTCCTACAATTTCAGTAAAAAGTAGATAGCAATTCACAATTACGCCAGTGATACCACCACATCCAGATCAGAGGATATGGCATAGCTGGGGAAAACCAGCACAGTTAGTACCACTGGAGGGTAATGAGGTGAGGCAAAACACAGCTCAGATTAGGTGACCACAGAGTTTAACTTTGCCCATAAAAATCTCTTAATGTCCCGTCAGGACGCACAGACGTGCCCACAGGGCTGCAGTCAGCAGCTCTGGGTACACTCACCTCCTGGCTGCACGGCACAGCCCCTCCAGCTGCTTTTGCCATCCTGCTTGTGTGCCGAGCAGGGCAGGGTGGCTCTCAAAGGCCAGAAGAGGCTGTGATTACAGGTGGGGCTAATACTGCAGCAACTCTTACCCCTCCTGCAAGGACAGCAGCTGCAGAATCAGGGCCACCTCCTCTTGCTCTCTGCAGAGCAGAGCCCAGGTGGCTCTCATACTGCTCTCACTATGGCTATGCACATGTGGGAGTAATGAATGCTTTCTTTTCTGAGCTGCAAATATGCTGAGCCAATAACCATTATACAAACAAGATGGAGTAATTATCTCATTAAATGTCCTGGCAGTATGCAGGCACCTCTGCTGTATTCTCTCACCTCGAATGAGGCTCTGTAGGAAGAAGCCTTTCAAAGGTTTCTTCCAGTGGCAAACCCTTCCTTCTGAAGGAGGTAATGTGTCAAAATAATTTGTCAAAGATATATTTTAAAAAACAGTTCATGCTCCTCTTCCTAATAGTTTATGAAAGCTCCTGCTCCTGAGCAGCATCATGTGTTTGCCTCTGTTTTGGGGAGTCCCCGGTCTGCCTTCCCAGCACAGTGGGTGTGAAACACCATACAAATAAAAATATTCTTGTCAGTGTGAAGAGCCGTTGTGGGAACAAGGGAAAGCCATGCAGGCCTCTGTTCTGGCAACTCTTAAAAACAAGTTTAGTGTAAACTTCTGTTGTTAAATGTGTGGTGGACACATTTAATGGAAGAGGAATACTCTCATGCTTGAGGTTTGGTGAATGTGTCAGTCTTAGCAATATCAGGACCAAAAAAGAGAAGAGGCGGAATGAGGGCCAGAAGGGGTTCCATAGTTCTTTTTAATCCATCTTTCAGCACTTCATTGGGAACAATTTATAGTTTTTGTTTGTGTCATGATAAATTATTCTATCAGAAAATTGACATTGGAAAAATTATTGTAATTTGAATAATCATCTCCTTTCCCTCATGTTGGAATCCTGCAGAAGATACAATGTATTTGTATTTAGAGGTATACAAAATTATATAACAAAAATTTGAAGGCTGAGGGACATAGCTGTGTGCTTCATTATAATTTACGTTTGATCCCTGCAAAATTAAATACTTGATATTGTATTTACAGATGCATCTTCAAAACACCATTAAATACACCTTAGTTGCATTCTTTGCTTAGTAGAATTGTAATAGCTTCCATATGGTGTCACAGTACAGAGTTACCAGCATGTGATTACACTACATTTTACTATTAGATGTTAATTAGCTTATTTATTTTGCCCGGATGTTTTTTGGCTAGTGCTGATCCTTGCTCAAACTGCTGTGTCGGTACAACTGAGGGTACTGCACGCTGGGGCTCAGGGTGGGCAGGAGTTCTGGAAGCAGGGAGGGGAAATGCCTTAAGACTTGGATACGCTGAAAATGCAGTGAGTAAAAATACACCCTGTATGAGACAGGATGTGTTTTCTTTCGCTCTCACAAGCACTTCCCACTGGAAATTTGGGGTTTCTACCTGTTGTGTTAATGATTCATCACTGTTATCAGGTCTGATATGCACTTCTGCTTAATCACCACCTGAACTCTCCATTACTCTGTGACTGTTCCTGATATGAAATCCTGTCTATGAGAAGTCTGTAAGGTCCAAGCACAATATTTTAGGCTTTGATCATATAAAAATTTCCATACCGTGTGACTCAATGCCTGTCTAGAAGAGCAGTGTAGTGTGATTGGCGTCAGCCTTGGGAGCAAGTGATGAAGCCTCAGCCTAGGACACCGACGGTTAGCCGAGGGTCTCTTCCTCCGGCCCTGCAGCCTGACTGCCTGGTACAGACACCAGTGCAGCCGGGTTGTACGCCTCCGTGTCACGAAGACAAGAGCATTCGATGTGTACAGGGCTCTACCTGGTATTAACTCTGAAAGAACTTTTAAAAAATCAGACTTAGTTTTGATTTTTTTATTTTGTTTACTCTGCCTCCTTCTCCTTTTTTTTTTTTTTTTTTTTGTGGGTTTCTTTTTGTTTTCTTTTAAGCAGGCGCCATCATATCTGGGATCTGTGGGGTCCTGAAGGGAATATTTTCAATTTCAGCAAAACTGTCGTTGTATTTTCTTTTAATCCTGAAGGTATTCTTATTAATATTAGGAGTTAAAAACTTTGTAAAAACTTTTTTTTATACAAACAGTAAAAAATATCTACTTATCAATATTTATTTATACTTACATCACTCAGTTTATGCAATAATACAGCCTTTAAATAGCTAGTTGGTTTTGTCGCATTTTGTCATCTACCAAATAATTTGACAAATTTGCCATAAACTCCCTGACATTTTTGCTCAAAAGAGTTAGTTTTCTTCATTCTTTGCTGCCAGACAGGTCATGTATCTTTTCAGGCTTGAAGAATTTCTATCAGCTATTTAAATGCAAGGCCACAAAGACAAAGCCAGACTCAGGCTGCAGCGAGCTGAACTGGGGTGATTCAGGACCAAAGGAGTTGCAGCACATAATTAAACAGTAACTGCGCCCTACTCCAGAGATTTTATATCTTGCAGTGTAAACTGTTGCTTTACCAATGAAAAAGGAGTATATACGCAGTTATCAGAGGCAGCACATGAACAAGGATGGTGAAAATTGTTATTGAGTGACACTTAAAAAGTTTTTTTTTCCTATTACTTAGGCAGGGAACGTGACTAAAGATGGCTGCTGCCAGTTCCCTGCTGCTCAGGGAAGAGGATGCATCCCAGCTTCCCAGCTCTCGGTGCCGGGACGAAAAGAAAGGGCAGAGCTGGGCATCGGTCTCTCCTTGGCGCTAATGGCAGCCGCCTTTGCTTTTACTCCCTGCAGCTGGGCTCAGAGCCAAGGGAATTATATACAGCCATGGCTGTGCACTGAAAAGAGGAGGAGGAGGAGGAGGAGGTAGGGTAATCAACAACAAGGCTTCTTGCACCTCTCTCTGATGTTGTCCTCAGCACCAAGTTTCTCTTCAATTCCTAGTGATCTGTGAGGATCCTAGCTCCTGTCCCCCAGCTCGCAGTACTAAAAAGGGAGAGGAGAGAAGCTATTAGCTCAGTTTTAGGGCAGTAAAAGAAATCTGGCACGAAGCAGCCATCTCGTTGTGTTGGCCTTTAGACAAGGAGGTGATACACCCCCACCCGATGCAGCTGAGCAGCATGAGAAGGGAAAGCCTCAAAGTTAGAGTTGCCGCAGGCTTGTGGGTTAGAAACCGAGCAGGAGCTGATTAAACAGCGCAGGCCTCGCTGGCAAATTTTAAGTTGTGGTGTTAGCAACCTTAAAGTGATCTTTACACAAGGCTGCGTTGAATTTGATGGGAGAAGAAATTTCCTGAAAAATCTATTGACAACAAGAGTTACTTTTGCTGATTTTCAGAGAAGTACCTCAAAGGAGCAGGCTATAGGGGAGAGGCAGTGTGGTCGTGAGGCTCCATAGGCACAGGGCAGTTTGATGGTGAATGAGGAAGACGCACACGGGGATGTGGTTGACGAAGGCAGCGCTGCAGCGTGTTAGCCGCGGGCAAACAGGCAGAGGGAAGGGAATAGCCTGGAGCTGCCACAACCTCTCTGACGCTGCCTGAAAACTAGAAGTGCGCAAAGGAACAGTACCTGGACTCTCGTGGCAGGGCCTGGAAATCAAATGTGAAGGGCTCTCAGCAGACCTTTCTGAAGTCCTACACAGATGCCGTTGCCCTTTTGTTTGCGTGGCAGCCCAAAGCATGTGTACAGAGGAATATACGTGTGTTTGTGCAACTGTCCGGGTTTAAAAAGCATTTTTTCTGCAGGATGTGTTTGGCCATGACTATTCATATAGTTATTTATTGGCATCTAGTGCTGAAATGAAGTCATACCAACTTTTACCTTCTATAAACCAGATGGGGAGCTTTCCCAAGACACTGGGCTTCTGCTCTCCCTTCAAGCCTGCTGCTGTGATGGGCTTTCTCTGGCTGGCAGACTGGTGCCTGCGCTGTGCTGGTAGCCCGACGTGTCTGGGGAGTGGCTTATGGAAAGGAATCTGCAGCCATTTCCGTGTCTTTGAAGGTGTTTCTGTCTCTGGCAGTTTGCTGATGGGGAGGCCTGGTTCCCCTTATTTCTTGTACATCTCTCTGCTCCGCGGGGTTATTTTCTGTCATAACTTGCGGGGTTACCTTGCAGCCTTCCCACCTATCCCTTCTTTTTTCTTGCTTTGACCACAGGAAGCTCTGTGAGCACAAGTTCCTTTCCGCCCATATGCATGCCCTTGAGAAATAATCTTATGAGGGAGGTCAGTTTATTGTAGCAATACCAGGGACTCCAGGCAAACTCAAGGACTCATATTTCAGGCTTTGTCCAAGGAAATGCATAGGAAGGTGCAACTTTTGCCCTGAAGACCTGTAACAGCAAATTCTGCTGAGCCTAGTGCATCCTCCAAAGTCATCAGGGGATGTATGTTATAGCTTCCAGAAAGAGGAACAGTGGAGTCAAGTCAATGTAATACTGTACCTCATCTGACTGGCGGGAACAAACTGGAAGTGAGAAAGAGGAAGGACAGGAGTGGTTGAGTATCCATCGTGGAGTGAGAAAGGTTCGAGTAGCTCAGTGGCCGCTTGACTCGCTACATTAGACTCGTACCCGTGTGGAGAAGGTCTCGGTAGGGACTGGGACTCCACCAGGGTGAATGGCTGGACTTCGGGGAGCCCAGTTTGAGCCCCACTGTAACAAAAAATCACATGAATGATTGATTTTACACACACAAAGAGTCCTTTCAAAACCAGTGGAAATACTTGAGTACGTAAGTCTTTGCCAGACTAAGATTTAGAAATTAATGCAACTTATGTGTTTCAGTTGCCCACATGAGGTGATTTTTTAATTATTTTTTTAAATGTATCATGTAATGGGGAGGGAAGAGAATATCCTGAGGAGCTTTGTTATGTGCATGGAAGTGTTTCACCCTCTGTTGTTTAAAAACAGACAAAGAAAAAATAAAACTAAAAAGCAACAGTTAAGTTTGAAAGCAAGGAAGGATTTTCTTGTTAAATAACTTCAGACTGAGTGTGTTTTAACAGAAATGCTACAGAACACCATCTGTTGAAAACCGGTGCTTTATTTAGTTTTCTATGTTGGAAGTTTGTTTATTATGCAAAGACAAACACAAAAAAAGAGCATCTTTGTTCCTTTGCAGAGAGTTGGATTGAACGATGTCTCAATGAAAGTGAAAACAAACGTTATTCCAGTCACACCTCTCTGGGGAATGTTTCTAACGATGAAAGTAAGTAACTTGTCATTCATTTAAAATTAGTGTGAACGTGTCCAAGTGCTAATTTCCTGCTATATGTTGCTACATCTTGGTGATATTTTTAGTACTCTGTAATTTGAAGAGTCAACTCACTTGACACATCCAATAGTTTGTGGGTTTTTTTTTCTGGAATATTTGCTATTTTGCATTATTTAAAAGGAAGTAATGCTATCTACTAGTTAAAACAACCAGAAGAATTTGGGTCACTGAGTAAAGGTTGGATGACCTCTAAAACGTGCTCTTAGTATTAGCTCATGAGTAAAATCATCTGTTTTGATTTTCACTGGTGAACTCCATGACGTTGAAATACAGGAAAAATTGTGCTGTTTTTCGATATGACTATATGAAATCATACATATAAAAATCTTCATTTTAAGAATTAAACAATCATAAGATTTTAAAAAAATCACATATTAACTAATATTACTTCCTTTTTAGTCATAGAGAGGAAACAATTCTAAATCTAGCTGATTTTAAAATACCTATTTTTTTCTTATCTCTTCTAGTTATGGTAGTTTAACATCTTGATTTTTTTTTTTTTTTTAACAACAGCAGGTAATTAAAAAGACCCCCAAATATCTTAAAATAACCTAATTGATTCCTTTTAAAAATGTAAGACAATTTTTAGATTACTAGTTTTCCTTGTTTATGCAATTTCTATTCTACTTAATTTGCCTGAAGCAAAGTACTCTTCATGTTAGCTTTCCTCTCTGTATTTCATATGTTTATGTTAGAGGATATTAATGCAGACTGAATTCTTTAGTTCAGAAAGACTCACATTTTTATAATATTCAAGCACCTAAGTTTAGAAAAAGTCTTTTTAATTAGTTCTTAATTGATGAATGTCCCTTTTACATTTTTTTTTTTTGCATTTTAAGATAACTACTTTATTTTGATGTCACAGTAAAACTACATGCCTTGCAGCACAATGCTTTAGTGGATCACAGAATCTGCTGTATCGGGGCCCTACGCTTACTTGTTCAGGGTTCTCTTTTGAGGCAGTATCTCTTCTGAAGGAGAAAGGCAGTGTTAGAAACATGGTATTTATTTATGACTCCCAAGTTAAGGACAGTGGATAAGAATCCTTAAAGATGGACAATAAAATTTGGACAGGTTTGGGGTTTTTGGTTTTTAAAAATTAAGGAACAAGAAATTAGTTTATCTTTAAATATAAAACTGTAGTGAAAAACAAAAAGCATCTGCTTGTTAATTTACATTTTAGGAGAAACTATGAGGTTTATGAAATTCATTTCACTCTGGTGCTACTGAGAAAGTGATGGAAAGAATCTGTAATGAATGAGATGTGATTTCAGACTCCTAATAGGGTCCGAATTCAGGATTCAACCCTATTGACTTTAATGAGCTTTTCCTTAGACTCACAGTTCAAGACAGTATTGTCAAGGTAATTATTTAGCACCACTAGCTATATTAAAAAATAATTATAATATAATTATAAATCTCCTATGTTCTGTTATAGATCTGTTAACCTAAACAGGTTGTAGCAAAACTAGCAGTAATTTGTTATATATGTGCTTTTAGTTTAAATGCGAGCATAAGAAAACGTCCACATACCTGGAGACAGTAAGAAGTGGACCTGGTGGGTTAGCAAGAACAGATATTTCAGACAATGGCACTGAGAAGACAGGATGGTTGTTCGTTCTGTTTTCTGGTACTGGAATTAAGGGGAAGCGATGATAATGAAAGGTGGCAAATTTAGAACTGATGAAACAAATATGTAAATGAACTTATCCCACAATTTGTGTGCAGAAGACATTGTCACAGTATATAATGGAAACCCAAATGAAAGCAAGAGTTGATTTCATCTAGCTTCCTTCTTAACAGTCAGTTCTTCCAGATGCTTCCTTTGCACTGACACCAGCATTTCTGCAGTGCAGATAAGAGAATCTTAATCCACCTGAAGTCATCCTTGGTTTTGGAGGGTGAAGAGGAGGAGAGAGGGTGAAGAGGAAGGAGTAGGAGAGAAAAATAAGCCACTTGCACAGCAGCAATAAGACCAATAATCTGTGAAATCTAGAACAATCTAGAAGTTTCACCTTAGAAATCATTGTATTATGTGCTCTTTTCCAGCCCTTGAGTTCTTTCTAATGTTTCTCTAACAGTGCCCACACGCCAACCAAGAAATTTCCAAACCATCGTCTCACTTTGTCCAGCCTCTCACACATTTACAAACAGCAGGAGGCAAAATGTTTTGAGAAAACCAGTGTAATTCTATTTGAATTCTTCAGAATGGTGGTCAAATTGTTGTTGTCAATGGAGCTCCAGTTTTAATCTGCAGTCAGAAGCAAGCATCATCCATCTTTCTTTTTACTTAGTTTTTTGTCTCTAAATAGATTACGTAGCTTTTGGCTGGACTCTACCAGAGAAAATGTGGCTTTGGTGTTGTTTTTTAGGAGGTTTTTTTTTTGGATTTGCGTCCAGTGAAGACACTAAGATTTTGCACTGTGAACTGATAACATTGTTACTCAGTATCATGTTTGCTCTTGTGACTCTTTTTCCCCCTGGATGTTTTTAGAGTTCATAGGGTTTTAGGACAAGAGTAATAGTTTTGCTGATCTCCTTTTCTATAGTAGGAGTATGCTACAGAACCGTACTTCATGCCACAGGAGTCCTTTGCAATCTTCTGTTCTCATCCAGATACCTCCAGGCCTCTTGAACTTGTGTTACATTGTGAAGGGAAGCAATGACTCACAGCTCCGGATTCCCATGGTCTCTCTTCTTCTTGAGGCGCTTCTTATTCTTGGAAGGTTTTATGACCCCTCCCAAAACACAGCTTTTACACTCTAATATAAAAATTCTAGGTACATTTTATTTCAATTTTCAGGTTTTTTAAACATTTTTTCCTTCCACCACTTCCACACTCTACATGTTAGTCAAAAGATCCACAGAAAAAAGGAATGGTACAAGCTCATATCTAATAAGTTTTTTTAAAAAAAAACCCAAACACAAATCCACAACACTTGCTGTGTACTGTGTGTTGAGCCAGATTCTCCAAATTGAAATAGGGGTCTAGAAGAACACAATTCAAGGATTATGAAAGTTTCAAGTTCAGTTCCCTGGGGAAGGAGTCATGACGTTACATGATGAAGTGGAAGGATTGCTTGTCCAAATTTTCCTGCATGTTTAGAAATGTGAATTTGTAGATGATTCATGTGAGAGAAAAGATTCAGACTACTTTTTGCACTTTAAAGGCAGTGTTCAAATTCTGTGTTCAAACTAGCTGAAATGGGAGATTTATCCAATAGTTTCTTTTTTTGTTTGAACTAAACCTTTTTTTTTTTTTTTCTTCTATTGAAAAAATGTTTAAAAAAGAGCTACTTGATTTCACTGAAACTTTCCTTGGAGAAAATTCTTTCTTTTCCGATCATAACTACTCAATTAGAACTATGCTCCCATGTTTGTCAAAGGGTTTTAAAAAAATCCCACTGTTTTAAAAGCATGGAATACATGCTAATGAGTCTGAGCCTTATTTATGGCTACATGTAAGAAACAAGGTAGTTTCTTGCTATCACGTAATTTTAGCTAACGGCAAATCTCAAAACTTTGAGAACATTCAGAACCTGGACTGCAAGGGCTACAGAGAAAGAGGCTATTCTTCTGAAAGGTGTGGAGCTACCTGAACTAAGGGAAGGATTTTATCCATGTAAAGCTACTAATAACATGCTAGCTCCTTAGTAGTTTGGAGACACATGCAGGCAGCACTGGAAAGTATAGAACTCTTCTGTTATCTCCACAGAGGAAAGCAGAGCTTTAACTCCAGTTATGATAAACAGACATTTTAGAAAAAGGTGTACTAATGCAGGGTCTTCACTTCGTGGATGTTCCACTTACTGTGTTTAAGGCAGCATGCTTAAAGAGGTGCTGAGCATACTTCTTGCTCCAAGAAGCAAGAAATTCCTTGAGCTGGACCTAAAACCAGGCAGCAGAACTTAGAGGATACTACTGAGAGTTAAGGAAAAGCCATAACCATACGCACAAGGTACAGACAGAACTCTATTCTGGTGGCTTTGAAACAGAATTTTGAAAGGAGAAAGACAGAGCGGTTAGCAAAGAAACTTCCATGGAGTTTGGGAAGAAAAACCTTCTCCGGTATCTCTGGGAGCCAAGAAATACTATTTTGCTAGTACATAGATTATCCCAGTATTGAATCTCTTTGAAGGCCTCTTCCGTGCTGAGAGTTTTAATTGCAACTGTCTAAGCTACTACCTGCTTTCAGCTTGGGATGAGTACCAGGTTTCCTACCTAACCGGGTACCCTGAAGATACCTTTCCTTGGGATGTGGTAATCCTTCTACTGGCAGTGGAGTGAACACACCAGATCTGCTCCTCACAAATGGGTTTCTCCCTGGGGTGCTATGCAGCTGCCATATATGTGAACACCTGCAGCTGTGCATCAGGAGCATGGTTTTTCCTTGTGACTTCAAGTCCTTTTGCGTTTCTCACAGAAGAATTGTCAGTATTGAATTTTAAACGGGATGGGTTCATTTTAATCTACATTGTTGTTGTAATGGGGACTGATAAAATGACAGGCCAAAAAGTAAGGGAAAACAGCATTCCTTACCTCTTTCATGCTGTACAAACAGATCTGGGATGAGACCTGAGTCAAGGTCACAAAACATTCCCTGCTCAATAGGGAAGCCGTTAAGTGCCCTGCTACCAACTAAAATACAAGGAAGAGGGATATTTATTACTTTCTGCTAGTCAATTATCTGATGAGATTATATTGTTAAACTATACAAGGTAGAATAAAGTGCTAGTATATGTAATACTGAAAGTTTGTATTTCTAGATCCCTTCCATTCCTATACCATGTGCAATTCTTTCCATCTACTTCATAAAAAAGTGAAAGTTTTCTGAAAATAAATATTTTAGCCAACACCTGGTGAAATGAGAAACATTTTGGCTGACAGCTGGTCTGTTGGCAAAAAGACAAAAAGTTCTGTTTTCTTGTACAGAGACTTGATTTGGGGGGAGACAAGTACTAACTGTGAAAAATGTAGTTTTGCGGAAAATTCAATTGTTCAATGGTAATATTTTGATGGAAAATGGTGCTTAAAGAATTCTTTTTAATAACTTTAAAGTCCGTTATTATTATTCTTGGTTTTAAGGGACAGTTAGTGGACAATGATGAAAAGTCTTAAAGAAGTATCCCCAGGAAGCAGACATAACTGAGGAGGGAGATTTAAATTGCAGTTTATGATATTATTGTTAGTTTGTGGTGTTAAAACAAATCCTTACATGGGAGGAGCTGATTATGGCTGGCTTGTAATGTGTCTGAGGGTAGGTTAGGTAAAGCACCTGCTCACAGGTGCTCGCTCTTAATGCAAGTGAAAAACAGCTGGGGGAGGCATGGAATGAGTGTAGAGACCCTAATATTGTATAATTTAGATATTGGCTCGATGTCTGATAAAGTGCCACATACCCAGGGGAAAATTAAGTCTAGCACAGGTACAAGCCATCTAATAACAGACCTTTGAATACTAGCCCACTTAAGAAAGATAATCAAAAGTTTTATTCTAAGGAGTGAGGAGTAGTACCTCGGCTTCATAGGCAGAAGTTTAGGATTTCTGCATCTTAGTTAGACAAGGGATTATTTAGATCAATGGCTTTCAGCCTTTCCAATTTGCACCCCCATAGCAATTTCCAGGGAGGTAGAAACCAACTGTATATCAAACTTAAACCAGTGGATGTCGGGCTTTGACACTGACAGAGAAAATACTGATTAAGAAAATGGATGACTTTCACCTGGGAAGCAATAACCTTAATTTGAAAAAGAAGACAGTGGGAGACAGGAGGAGGACTGGGCCCCCACAAGCTGCTGCTACCTGAAGGCAGCAGCTTCGGTGGTTGTACCTTGCTGTGGCGTCTCCCTCCCTGCAGCAGGGAAGGTCTGACTCCTCTGTCCATAGAAAGGCGCTGCAGTGCCCTGTGTTACAGGTCCCTGTTGGCAAGGCCTGTGCACCCCCGTGACTGCCAGCTGTAATTTTCATTACTAAAGCAGAGGACACCCACCCCCTGCCCTCAGTCAGCACTTTACCCCTGCAACACTTTGCCAAGATGTACTGTTTATAACTAGTCCACTTGCACTTTTACCTCAGGAACCATTGGGAGGCCACCAGCTGCTGGGCACCCACGGGGCCTTGGCAGGCTAGGCCAGCCTACTTGTGGGTGAAGGAAGCTGCAGCAGCCTCTGTGCCCCAAGCCCAGGGAGCTGCCATAACTCCCTCTCAGTCCCGCTGCCTATTTTTTCCCTGGCTGAGATGACAGAAGCCACAGCAGGATGCAAGACTGGACCAGGCTCTGCTCAGGCTGTCTGAAGGTGACCACAGGGCCTTCCCTGCAGCAGCTCGCTCACCCTCCCACCAGGCACTCTCCCACCCACAAGCTGGGCTCCCTCATCCCCTGTCACCTGGAAAACCACGAATCCCAATCCAAATGGCTCTTCCCACCTCAGAGCAGGGCAGACATGGCTGGCCTTTCCTCCCCAGAAAAGGCTGGAGTCAGGTGTGCTCTTAGAGTGTTTGTGCTGTCAGTTAAGGATAAGGGTAAAACAGTCGGTGTTGTGAGAGGAGACAGCCCCAACTATTTTATCCATCCAGTAATTTAAATCTGTGCTGCACGGCTCTGCCTCCCACTAGGGAGAAGGTGTTTGTCCTGCCGCCAGCGAGGCCTGAGGCTGTTGTTGAGCATCAGCGGCCCGCGCAAAAAATTCAAGCCCTGCGTGCCAAAGGTTTGTTGCGTGCCGACCGTTTGTTTAGGAAAAACAAATGAAAAACACAATTTAAAAGTGATTTGAAATGTGTATGTTGGTCCTATGCGCTGAATAAAAGCGGGCCCCTGAAAGGCAGGGAAGGAGTGTGCGGTCCAATAATTAAAGGCCCATTGTCATGCAGATGCAGAAGAGGGGCTGCACAGTGTCTGCGGGTAACTGTAAATCTGGATTTTCCTGACATTCAGGGGACCGGTCTCGCAGGCTAAACGATGTTCGGTGAACACAACTTGTCCTATATGTAATGGAAGAAATATTGTGGCATGAGGGCTGAAGACAGTGTTTTCCAAAGTGGTGTTTTATTTGTGCGCGTCGGTTCTTGGGACTGTACAAAATGCCTCCCAAAGGGATCCGATGTTCAGGGGAGATAGCACGGCTCCCTTCAGATTCAGCATCCTAAAGGCTCACTTAAATAACTTCTAAATGTTAATTGTATGAAGAAATGAAACTTGCAGGGTGGTGTACAGGAGCTGTGGTTTACTTCGTTGTTTAAGTAGCAAAGCCTTCTACACTTAATGCTTTCATCAGGGACAAAGTTGTTAAAATATCAAACTGTGTTTGATACAACAATGTTTCCCAAAGAATACCCTTCTGGAGACACTGATTGTGCTTCACTCCAGCTTTCACCTAGGAATGTTTTATATGCTTCCCAAATGACAATTTAATAGGAATTATTCTATACATACTTTAAAATTGTTCCAAAAGAACTAATGTGAACAAGGAAGAATCCAATATTTTTAAGAGTTTTATTTTAATTATATTTTTTAATTCATATTTTATTCAAATTTTTGGAAAGAAGGCAAATCAGAGAGTTACCTTGGAAACAGTTAATCAGGAATATTATCAGACAAATTATCTGAAAAGAAATAAAATATATTATAGGATGTTTTTAATTTTGGTTTTTCTTGTTCAGAATTAATCTTTGTAAATTTATAAACATCTAGTACCTATCATATGTTAGGATCACAACAGTGGATGAACCCCATTAGATTAAATGCCTCATCTAATATAAAACTTGGGTAAGGCAACTGTTCCCTTATAGCAGGTGAAAGTGGTTTTATGTTCTGACACGCTGCTAGAGGTCTGAGATTTGGTTGGGTTTTTTGTTGGGTTTTTTTTTATATATATAAATTTATCCTTTCCAATGCCATTATTCCTATGCACCATTCTGTTCCTGCTATCAGCGATGTTTGCAAGGGTTATTGCCTTAAACAGTATCTTCAGATGCTAGCTTAGGGAACACAATTATTTACATTTCCACAATTTAGCCAATATTTTGAGAAAGCTTTGGCACTTGAGAACTTTTTTTCATCAGATAATTCCTTACCAATTCATAAATGCATGAGCAATTCCCACTAAAATAACATGTTTTTTTGTTTGTTTCTTAACAGATGAGGAAAAAGAAAATAATAGAGCATCAAAACCACACTCAACTCCAGCTACACTGCAATGGTAAGATTCCTTTAAAAATCAAGAAAACCTGTTAGCGGTTTTTTCTTATACTTTTTCCAGCTGAAGAGAATAGAGGTCTTGGACATCTTATATGGTTCTAAAGATACTTTTCCTGTATGTATTTAATCTGCTCAGTTTACTGCACAGCATTTCTCAACAAACGTCTTAATCTTCTGAGATTTGTTTGAACCTCTGAGATTTGTTAGGAAACCTCTGATATAGTTTAGAGTTCATGCTTGGCATATTTGTTTGCCACCTTGCTAGGTGGTGATTTGTGGTTTGTCATCATTGTTACATTTATTACAAAAAGAAAACAAGAACTGAGATTTTTTTCAAGACTCCCATTTGTTTCAGTGTACGATGAAGCCCACTGTTACTGTTTTTCTGAAATGAGATCTCTGCAATTTAATGCACAGGACAACAACAGAAAGGAGAGAATTTGAGGTTTGATTCATTTGCCAAAATCCCCTTGCAAATTTAGGGGGGGAGGGGGAAGTGTTTGCCAAAAGCCCCTGTCAAATTGGGGGGGGGGGGGGGAAGGAAGGGTAATTAGGAAGAGAGAAAGAGAGGATGGGGAGAGGAAAGTTTGTGAATTAGTCTACTGTGCTATGAAAAATGAACAAGTGCTGTTCACTGTGGTTTACAGCAGTATTTTAGGCTGCAAGTTCTGTAACATTACTTATACTTCTGACATCCCTTTCTATAGGTTATCTTTTAGACTTTTGTTGACTTTTCTCTTAATTTATGTTTTTAATTCTGGTTTAGCTTTCTTAATATTGTAAGTGACCACACATCTTTCAGGAGGTTTCTTGTATCTGGCAGAACAGAGCTTTGTTACAGAGAAGCCTCAGAGCATGCATATCTGAAAACTCATCCTCCTTAGCTTGTTTTAAATCTTTTAAAGAAAGGCCTTTACTTCACCTGTAAGTACTTCTCATATTTTTCTGAAAAAAAAAAAAAAAAGATTATGTGAAAAAAAAAAAAAAAAAAAAAAAAAAAGTGGGGTGGTTAGCAAAATTATTTTTCTGCTTCTGTCAGTCTCTTGGGAGATCTAACTGAACAAACAGCAAAGAATAATTCATCCAGTGAATTTTACTTTTTCTTGGCCTGTGAAATTCTGTGAAATACGCATAATGATATTTGGTTTATTTAATCTATATTTGCTGATCAGTTTTTATATTATTTTATATTTTATATTTTTTTATATTTGTTGATCAGTTAAATTTTGGATTAAAAAACCCCAAGACATGTGGGTTGATTGAGAACTTGAGGTTTCTCAAGTAGTCAGTGTTCTGCCTTGAAGAGACTTGCAGACACTTCCAGTGCAAATAATGAGATGGGCAAATATAAGTAAAGGTTAGCTCTGAACTATTGCTTCTTTGTACCTATTTGGACCACAAAAGTGCTGTTTTTTGGAAGTTCAAGAAAAGTGAATTAAAAAAGGGAGTGACTACAGACGGAGAGAAAATTATTTAAATAATAGTGAAATGTCATAGACGTATTTTATTATTTTCCATTATTCACCCATACGACTTCAACACAGTTCAAATAGGATAACAAGGAACTATCTAGCTAAAACAAAAAAGCAGGCAGGGCTTACCAGTCCCAAATTCAGAACAGTGTTTTTTTTGCAGTAGAGTCAGTTAAGAGTCTTTTGCCACAGGAGCAAATAACGTAGTAGCCAAGAAGTCAGAGTTAATTAGAACATGCCAATGATACTGTTCCCAACAGAAAACATGCAAATACTGTAAACAATCTTTTGCCAAATGCTTTCAAGCTTCCTTGGTCATAAAGGTTAGTAAATCCCTAAACTCCTGGGATATTGAGCCCTGCTGGAATGCAGTGTGCACGCTAATGCCCATTCAGCAGTGTTTGCAATAGAATCCTAGAATTTTGATTCTGAAAAGGCTGCTTACATCATCTTCCCTTCCCCCTTGCTAGTGTACTGGCTTACTACCTGTCTGTTGCGTTATGTTTCTTACACGTTTAGGTAGGTCAGACATTCTCCTCTTTGAGTCTGTTGGAGCATCTGCAATTTCCTCCATTCGTCACCCAAAAATACATGAGGGAACAGAAAGGAAAGAAGTTTTCAAGTTTAATTTCTTGAGCTAGTGTCAAACTGAATTATACAATTGGCTCATTTATTAATAGACTTGTAGGTAAAAATTTCCCAGCTTAGTAACCATACCATAGAACAGTTTCTGGTGGTTTCCATATGCTTTTCAGCCTATGATGTACTGCAGTTTTGAATTGGTATTTCCTGAGGAAACTGTGCTACTGGGTTTGACACACTAAATAAAATTACAAGCTCAATGGTTATGGTCACAGTAGTAAGCTTGCTTTTTGTGAAGATGTTGAGTTTCCACTGTTCTGCAATACCAGACACATTAGCATCAGGTTATTTGTACTTCAGTAACACATAGCACCCCATGGGTCGGTAAACTATTGTGGGCAGCGCTGTACAAATGCTGCATTGAGTGCTTCCTGTAGGTTTAGCTTTACATGTTTAACAGTTTTGCCTGCTTAGGCCTCAGATCAAGTTTTTGCACAGTGAAGAAAGACAAAAGACTAGATTTACCTGAATATACTTTGGTTAAGAATGTATCCCACCCTCTTACAGCAATCTCTGGGCCAGATTCAAGAGGTGGAAGTGGTGGAGTAAATTATTGACCAGATTTCAGGATACAGTACCAAACTTGCCTTATTCTGGCAAATGGAAGCACCACAACTGTCTGCAGCATCTGGTGTCTGCCAAGTTAAAGCTGGTCATGTTTTTATTGTTAGATGCTACTATCATTTACAGCTAATGAAGGCAATGGAGTGTTGGAGAACAGAAACAGAGGAAATGCCAGGAGAAAGAAAAAAAAAAAAAAAAAGGGAAGAAAGAAGTAGGGAAATTGAAGCAAGACATAAGGGAAATACATAAATTTTGTCCCATGGTTCATATTGCCATCAACTTTATTAGTTACTCCTTGTCTCGCATCTTACTGAAAAGAGCAAGTATCAATCCCATAGGGATCTGTCCTTAATGCTTATGCCTCTCCCAAGGTGAAGTACGTTGAACACTATAAATGAGGAGGAGGAAGTAGCTGAAGATGCCAAGAAGCATATCTGGATGACTGTCAGCCTGGCCAAAATATCCTTTTCCTGGAAACAGGAATGATGTTTTTGTTTAGTTTCGTTGATGACGCAAAATGAAGTGAAAGGCCTGCTAAATGTAGCATTACTGCCAAATACATCATAATTCGGGAAACTGCACCAGCCTGAATTTAACTGTCAAGGCATGAATATACCAATACCTCGTATCCTGTGCTTATCCCATCTTCCTGTGCTCATTATTATCTGTAAAGCTAGAGCTTGCTAAACACTTGGCTCTAAAACGTTCATGATTATTTTATTGGTGAACTGGTTGACCAAATTGAAAGTGCGAAACTTTATTTTACCTCAGTTTAGTGTGTGTGTGTGCATTTGTGTGTCTACGTCTCTAAACACAGTTATTCAAAGCACGAGCAGCCTAATTCCATGCAGTTTAGTGGCTTACAGTGTAGGTGCTCCGAATAATAACAGTATTGTGAAGCTAAAGTCAACAAAACTATTCTATTTTTTGCAACATTTGTAAAAAGAAATATAAAAGAGAAAGGTAAATTACTGCTAGGTAGTGGATTCTCCCCAGATTAGTAGTTTCACAGAAATTGTTATAATGCATCAAAATTAATCTGTTCTAGAATTCTTTATGGGATTAGCAATGGTAACATTGCAGTTGTTCTGTTGCCTTTGTATCTAAAACCAAGTCTGTAAAAACACTACAGACCTGACTCTGCTATAGAATAATCTCATTTAATCTAGAAGTATATAACTATAAGAGGGAAACAGTAATAGGGACACATAAAATTGTCATTCCTGTGGAAGGATTAGGGGTTCTATTGCTATACTGTAGTGGTACAAAAGGTCTCATTGTGAACTACTGGATTTCACATGGCTTTATTAGGACATTTAAAATGTTATATATATATATTATTTCTGATAATGATTTGTTAGGTAGAAGATTGAGTTCATTATCTTTCTATAATACCGAGGAATGAAGCTGAATTCAAAATATGATAAAGTTGTTAAATAAAAGACAGGAAAATAAAAGAAGTGGAGCAAGATGGGTTTTTTGATCATTAAAAAAAAAAGTTCAGGTATAATGGAGCATTGTTCAGTGTCAGACTAATGACTCTCTGTGAAAGAGAGGAGAAAGAGAGAAAAATTCATCAGATATGAACAGAAATAATTAACTGCTTTTCTTTCTGTCCTGTCTTGGTCACGGAAGCTGACATTCCAATTAGCAGCTATAGTATACAAACGAACTCTCCAGGTTTTGAAAGGAGGTTTTGTTAAAGCGCTATGAATTTGAGGAAAGATGCCGTGATGATATTTCTGTAGAAACCAAGGAAGAATAGATGTTGCCCATACAAACTGATTCCATTCATCTAGCCGGATATCTTATTAAAATAGTTTGCAGTCACAAATGATCACGATAACTGAAATGGAAGGTAGGTAGGTCCTGAAAAAGGCAATGAAGGAGAGAAACTAGATATTTGGAAGGTGTTCTACAGCTATCAAATGACAGGGGGTTATTTGCTGTACAATTGGAGTTTTTTGAGAATATGTATTAATTTTCTAATATATTGAAGAGGAAGTTGCACCTACCTTCTTCTAGTCAGCAAGGCAGACAAGCACACGTGTAACTATATGCATGTGAGTGACACCATGGATGACAAAATTAATTCTGTTTTAAGGTTAAGTGTGTATGTAAACACCTCTTAAACTTTGTTGGATCAGCAATCTTAAAAATGTAATTTCAAAGGAATATTTCTTTAATCTATAGATTTTGAATGAGCCTAGTTTCCGATTTTAAAGATGAGGCATATGCCCATTCATATATTTGATGCATAATTTAAAATTTTATAGTTGTGTGTTTGCATGTGTAAATGAATAATAGTTTCTATGGGGCAGAGGAGGATGGCATTTCACTATTTTATTTGGCATTGTATTCAGATCATGGACTCTTTTTTCACTTTGTCCATAAGCAATAGCAAGAAAACATTATACAGATTTGATTTTGTGCACACTCTTGAGTATTTGCAAATAACTTGCACATATGCTTCTTCAAGGTACATAATTTTGCAGCTGGACAGGAGTGAAGAGAGTCCTGTAAAGAATGAGATAATGCTTCCCATCAGTGAATGTTTCTTGTTTCATAGTTGTACATGTATTTGTTTACTGCAGGATGCTTTTAGGGTATAACAGATTACTAGTATATATTTTCCTAAAAATAGCACCTTTGGAGCATGGTAAAAACCCAATTTCCCTTTGTGTTAATTTCTACTTGCATGAGAACTCACAGCCTATGTTTTTGATAGCAAGCATGAACCAAATGAAGCAAGTGAGCATTATGGAAGTGAATTGGAAGGAGCACTTAGGAACAAAGCAGAGAAAACTTAGTAGACGAGCAGAAGCCAGAATGTTTGGTCTTAAAGATGCAGTTTTGCATACTGTTTACCATACAGGACATCCAACATACTTGCAGTTCTCTCTGTTTGATATTTGCTTTTTAAGGCTGGAGGAGAACTATGAGATTGCAGAAGGTGTTTGCATTCCTCGAAGTGCACTCTACATGCATTACTTGGACTTCTGTGAGAAAAATGACACGCAACCTGTTAATGCTGCCAGCTTTGGGAAGGTGAGTCGAAACAGCAGTAAGATGCCTTGAGCTCTTGCCTGGTTCAGGTGAGTTTGGATTACTGAAAAGAATTAAATCATCATTTACCATTAGAGATAGAGGTCTATGAATGGAATCTCTAATGTATTCAAGTTATTGGACAAAGGCTAAGATTTTAAGTATTTAGAAGGTGGGAATAATTTCTAATCATGACTCAGCTCCAGAATGCACTAAATTTTTTTATGACTTCAGGCCACAGACTAGCTGACAGTGACATGGTATACAATATTGGCAGCTTGGAAGTCAAATACAAGCCAGTGTAAACACATCTGTGTTGTGATGTGCACTGCTTTAACAAACATATGTTTGTTGTTTTTTTTTTTTTAAATAGAAGGCTAAAATAGCAATCATTTAATTCTAAGGCCTGTCTATGCCATTCTTGTAAGCATGGTATGGAGATCCCTGAATTAATAATATAAGCCCACACTGGCAAATCTACATAGTGGAGTACATACCTCCATATATGAAAGTCAGAAAGCATCTAACAGCATTTCTGTGGCACTGCAGATACAGGCTGCCAAGTTATATTTGCACTGTGATTCCTTGTGCTTCAGCTTTCCAGTCCAGCTCTAGGAAGAACCACTGTGGTTATCTCTAGACTCACAATGGAGATGCATCTGTGCATTGTCCAGATGTGAGCAGTAAAGCTCTTATGCGATACATCACCAGCAGATGTTAATGGCTAGCTAGACATTACATAAAGTTCTTATTTTGGATTTGGTTGTCAGTCATGTTTTCCTCTCAGTGAAAAATAGGATGATATTTTTATATTTTTAATTTTTTTTTAAAAACTGAAATTTTACTACAGAATGTGTCACAGGCCTTTAAAACTTGTAGCCTGTGAAAAAAACAAAGTGTAGAGTTTGTCACTGTTTTTGAAATGCTTGCAAGCATGAATCTGAAGCCGATTGTCCTACAAGCTATTCTCTTCTAGTGTTTACAACATTTGTTCTATAGAAGTGCTGGGTATTCAAACAAGGAAATTTGTTCCTAGGGGTAAGTGCCTGTGTAAAGAGTAGGTGAAGGAGAAGAATGTATTTAATGAGGTGTCATTTTCTATAGTGCATCTTTATGTAGGCAGTTTAGCAAGGCGAGTAAAATGTACCATGTTATAACATGACTATGTTGTGTCTTAAAGACCTGCATAGCTCAGCTGATTCTGTGTTAAATACACTGCATAAATGTGGATGAAATTGTTCATTGTACGTATTATTGCTACCAAGTGGTAAGTATAGTGTCAACGTGTAATTTAGGAATAGTGAGAACAAGAAACAGATTTCATGCAGGCTAACACATTTGGAATGCGGGTAAAATTTACACTATGCTACTTTTGCTGCTGCTAAAAACTTCTGTAAATTGTAAGGTGTAAATATTCTGAAATTATTTCATCAGAACATACATTTACTATGGACTGCACCAATTTTCAGTATGTGGCAGTCTTGTTACACTGCATATTACCCCATCTTCCTTCTCTCCTGTCCCTCATACGCATATATCTGTTTATCAGAAGGAGTACCTTAACCTAGCAGGACAGGTACAGTGCCTTCCACCCAAAAATCATGGCATTCCAATGTGTTTCTCATGTGCTGTGTTCCAAGTGTTTTCTACTTGGTTGCGATAAAATTCTGAAGCAGTGATGCATGAAATTTGTTTTCCCTCTTTGTGGAGAGGAAGCCATACAGAATCATCCTAGTACTGTCTCAAACTAATGCTTCATGTGGCCATTACTTTTGGATCTGGGAACCGAGGCTTCTGCACAGGTATGTCCAGGAACCTCAGGCAACACTGGCACAAATATTGAAGTGAAACAAGCTTCTGCATCTGCAAAACCCGGAGCAGACCTCAGGGATTCTTTCCAATCTGTTATTGCTAAGAAAATGTAGTCATGAAGATCTGCAAGGCAGACACCCACTTCACTCAATCAATGATTTGCAGTCAGCTTCTCCTTAGGAGCAGGTATACGGTTGAAGTTTTAGCCAAAAGAGTTGTTATCACGTGACTTAAATATGGTATTGGCAATGTGTGTTGCATAAATGCCTTGGAGGCAGTGCAATGAAATAGGTGCTATTTGAGGGCTTCCGCACTTAGCTGCTGAAACAGAGAGCCCAGACATGTTTGTCCTCATTGGGAATCATCAAGAGCCCTGCAGCTGTCATCTCCTCCAGAGAAAGGAGTTAGTTGTTCTGTGAAATTGTAGACAGTTCGCCTTTCAATAGACCACATTGAATTTATGATTCATCTTTGAACTTTAGCTCTGTGGGCAATGTTAAACATTTAGGCTTTTCTTTAACAGACTGGTAGTTTTTAGAAAGAGACATGGAGTTCACATTAAACCAATCTGCAATAAGTAACATCCTAATGTATTGTTACATACTCAGTTACATCTCAATTAACAGAACAGTGTTGATTTCACTTTTAAAGATACCACTGGAGACATGTGAAATTTGCCTGAAAGTGATCTCTCCAGATTAAGGTTTGGTAGACAACACTTCAGCCCATGTGTACTTCTTAAGCCTGATGTAAGTCAGGTATATCCACAACAGAGCATGGAAGGGAGAACAGACAAGCTGTTCATGAACAGATGAACTAATAGACCTTGTCTCCTACCATCTCCTATGTTCCCTAAATCCAGAGCCTTACCTAAATCTTACATCTCCATGTTTCCCTCCAGCACTTTCAATTACTTCCAGGTCCCGGTCACTACATCAAAGTCTTGCTTCTTTGAGTTTTCTCTCATTTGCTGCACCTTCTTTCTACATTATTTTTAGATTCCCTCAAGTCTGTCTGTCCGTTTGCCTGTACCTTTTTTTCTCCTCCTCCCATGCTGACAGCTGGGCAAGAAGCAGCACATGGGGTGGCTGGTTCAGAGCAATAGAAGTGTTGACTGGTTGCTTCATACTCATTGTTGTCCAGTCAGGCAGTGCCAAACGGCTCAACTAAAGGCTAAGCTTTCCTCTCTGTCTTGTCCTCAGCATTAACATCAATATACTCTCCCAACTATGCAGCCAATGTCTTCTGTTAAACTTCTAGGACATGGACTGGACCTTAGGCATTTGGTAATATTGGATTAGCAAAACAAAAATTGGTTTGAGGGGTGTGGAGAGATTAACAGAGAAACAGTAATATCTCAGACTGTTTCCTGAGGAAACCAGGCCAATAGCAACAAAAGTAACAAGAAGGGGAAATAACAGAATTACTGTATAAACAAACACCTTTAAAAAAAGCAACCTATACTCCTAAACCAGATAAAGTACATATAGAATAAGGAAGACTCTAATATGGTTGTTAATGTGATATTCTTAGATGACAAAGGGAGCTGTAGCTTTAATATGTTAGCCAAGATTTTAGTGCTTTCTGACACAATTAATATGTGAAAACTACAGGCAGTTCTTTCTATGCTAGCATTTGCCAATCTGCTAATAGCTACACTACCTAGCCTGCCATTACAAAGCTTTTTCTTGCCTGCAAAAGACAGGACCAAGCACTCTTTTACCCATATACTTTAACTAAACAGTGATCAGGGAGGGTCCTGTGTTTGCTGGTTACAGCTCAGCATCAGCAAGTGGAGACTCCAGTGTTAAACTTTGGCTCTTACTGTAGGCAGCAAAACATATTATATTCAACGGGATCATGATTTCACCCCAAAGTGAAGCAGAATAAATAAAACTGTTCCATGTAACTAGTGAGAAGACAGGCAAGTACAGTGAGGAAGGGCAGGCAAGTCACTGAGTTATTAACAGCAAAATGTTGCGTATGAGAAAAAGCTTTCTCACAGTGAACATGTTTAGACTGTGAATTAGTCTTCAGGCAGAAGGAGTGAAAGCCCAGTTGCTGAGGTCACTTAAAAAGATGGCAACCTTGTGCCCCTCAGCCCTGTACTGCAAATGCCTCGAGCTCTGCTCTGGGACCCTGTGGACTTTGAGAGCCGTTGAAGGTGTTTCCAATTGGAATTTCTGCTGCTGCCTGCAGCAGGGAGGGCTGAGCAGACGTAGAATTTTTTCTGAGCATAAAATGCCAGTGATAATTAATAGAGCTAGGAATTATGGTAGTTGAAGGCTCTGACTCATTATTCTCACAGAGTTTAGTTGCAAACATTAAATCATTCTGAACTGGGGCCCTGACTGAATCAAATCAGTTACTTAAAAAGCAGGAATGTTCTGAGCATTTCCAAGCCCGTTAGTAGCTGTTGCATGTGGATGGGTTCCATAAGGCTCATTGGTTCTCTCCTAGTTGTAGCATGTCACCCAGCTGTTCAGCTGGGTTGGCAGGTCTTTGAGCTTCTCTTTCACTTTTATTTCCTCAGCCAACACTCCTTTTTGTTCTTTGTTTCTTTTGAGACCCTTTGTTTCTTTTGAGAACCTTACTTTCTTAATCAAGCCTCTTGAAGATGTTACCTTCCTCCTCCTCACCGGTTTTGCCTATCCTCCATGTCCTCAGTTCACTGCTTTAAATTTACTGCACAGTAATAAGTCACCTCCCGGACCCTGCCATATCTGTCATACAGAACACTTAGTTTCTCGTGGTGCAACCTCTTGCATCCTCCTGAAGTGTTCTTCCCACAACTCCCATATGCCCCCTGCAGGTTAAATACTTTCCTCTTTTGTTTTTCGTTTTTTTTTTTTCCTTTTGGTGCTTTCCTGGCATGTCTTTTCACAAGCAATAGTAAATTCATATTTGAAAAGGAAAGCAAAGGATACTGACGCTGCAGGGTGGCTCTCCCCCAGCCTGAGGTCCCTTTACAACACTCTGGCAGCATAAAGAGGTTTAACATGGATACATACTCACATGAATTTTAGAGCCTCTTTATTGCTCCCTGAGTAGCTTTGCTGTTAGTGAAAATTAGATTCCAATACATTTATTTCAGTAAATAAAGAAGGGTAAAGTCCACAATAGATTTGTAATATTGGTTAAGAAAGAGATCTCTCACATTTTTGACCAATATTTCCACCCCATTTCTAAAA